AATTTGACCCCATTTTGGCCGTTTACAGCCTTTGCATTTGATCGAACTCCTCCTAGGGATTTCAATGGATTGGCTTCAAACTTGGTCAGTTGGTGTATAATGCATGCCCGATTCAAAGTTATCAAAACAATTCAAATTCATGCATGCTGAAGGGGTGATGCCAGGGGTCAAAGTTCACCGACTCACCAAGAAATTTTAAACTGTTATATCTCCTACAAAAAACTCAGAAAGGCACGGAACTTTCAGTGATTGATCATCCTTGAGTGCTCTACAAGATGCAATGGTCAAATTTTGACATCTCTTAAGCCACACCCCCTTAGAACAGGAAGTGTTATGTTTTACTGTGAATGGTTGCTGTCTGACCCCTTTGACCTAATCAACATAAAACAAAATTTTGGATCAAACCCGCCATTTCCATTTTTTCATAGATGTCACATCTGATCAAACTCGTCATACAGCTTTTGAGATACAGATTTGAAATTCACTCAACAGAGAGTTGAGACATTAAAGGACAGAAGTTATCAAAAGAATCCTCATACATCAAAGCATGTGGGCGTGGCTAAGCGTCAAACGTTGGCTTTGTGCCATGAAACATTAGAATGCAATAACTTCTCCAGGACAGGTCAGAGCTGAATCAGACTTTCCATGTCTCATTATAGACCAGCCTTGATCACATTCACATGGTCAATTGATGACATCACCTAAACCACGCCCCCCTCCAACAGGAAGTCACCTGTTTTTTTCTGCTGAATGTCTTACTTTTACTCTATGATTCAAATGGGTTAAATCCTGTGCCATCTGATACAAAATTGCATTATGATGCTCTCTGTGAATGTTGGCTGCTGGCTGAACCATGTGGGGGTGGCTAAATAGCGAGTAGCAATGCTCGCCATGACTAAAATCATCTCTCAATCAAACATGCTTCATCCGATTTGCACCTGACTTTATGTGATCGACTCTGATGAACCTCTACAGCAGGGGTCACCAACTCCAGTCCTCAAGGGCTACCATCCTGTAACTTTTAGAT